AAAACAAAAAAAACAATGTGATTAATATGCTATTTTTTATATACATTTTGTCCAATTATGTTACTGTCCTGAGCTTTTGATCTGAGTATCCTTGTAGCTTTAATGTCCTGCAAGATGATACATTCCCCATTTCCCCAAACCTGTCAGTAATCAACCTTCGTCTTCAAAGCTAATCTGCGCCTCTCTCCTCTCTGCACACTCGCTGCCCTCCGAGGCTCTCCATCTCCCCTGTTATCTGCTTCCTTGTATCTGCTCCTTTCTCCCCATCCTCTGACCCTTCCACCTCCACTAGCCTCTGCCACCGGACCCATCATTACTCCTCTCTTTCAACAACTCATCTTTCTGGAGCTAGACTGAATTCCTGGCCACAACAGTGCTATTCTGCTGGCTTCTAATAGAATCTCGCAGAGCCTCTAATGGATGTGTCAGAATCTCCCTCAGCACAGGAGAGGAGATGGATTGATATGGAGAGCCGTGGAGACAAGGGGACAAAGACAGGGCAGCAGTGGGACAAGAAGGGGGATTTTGACATGTACGCTAGGGCCCAAAGACGCTCCAATGCACCTGGACTACTGACACCAACAGATAGTGAACATATGCTCAGGTGGAGCCAGTGGGGCGTGAAGATATCCAGTTGAGACCCAATCTGATAATGCATTACCAACATGGCGATTGCGTCAGCCTTAATTAGTGCACGCATGCTCTAGTTTTCCCGACTAATATAGTATAAAATTATTAAAAACAAGAGGCAAGAGGACTCTGTTGTGGTTTGTTGTTAGACAAAGGAAGTACAACTAAATTACAGCTATCTGCAAGGACAGCGCTTAATTTACCACCAGACCTAATTACATCAGGGTTGGTCATAGTCAGCTGGTCACTGTGGGGAGCTGCAGCTGTTCCACTGGAATAAAATCTGGGAGCGCAAGAATGCCAAATTGTACGACAAGATCCCACAGGTAAGTGTACAGAATATAGTAAAGTAAGTAAAATCAAGGGTGTTAATGTGTATCGTAAATATTGTATGTCAAGTTTACCTTATAGATTATAGATATTTTAATAAATTTTTTTCTGATCTATGTTATAATTAGAGCCCGACCGATATATCGGCTGGCCGATATTATCGGCCAAGATGGGCACCTGGAGACATATCGGCTATCGGCCGATATGCTTGCTGATATGGGCCGATATTTCACGTGGGCATGTTATACCTCGTTATAAAGCTTAGACTCTCTACATTATGTTCATTTAATCCAATTTACAGACAGATAAATGTCCTAATATGTGGCTCCGCATCAGTATTTATCTGCGGTGTAATTTGTCTGTGTCCGTACTGTCTCTGAACACACCACCAGAGTGACGTCACTTCACTCGCGTGTGTTTGTTTACACCCGCAGCCGGTGCGCAACACTGAGATTATATTCTTTTTCGGACAATCGGTTTGAGTCTGGATTAAAAGGACATTTATTAGTGCAGACTTGTGATGTGAGGAGGAGCCTGTGTGAGCGGTGAGTGTTGGAAATACATCGACTTTGAAGCTAGCTTAGGTTTTGTTAGTGGTTAGCTGCTGTAGCTCCCGCACATAAACAGGCTGTTTTCTATTGGTCTATTGTAAAGTGACTACATTGGCCGTGTATTTGTTACTGGACCTGCATTGATATGTAAATGAGCTGTGAATAGACGTGTGAATGATCCACATTTATGCATATAATTAACTACCGCGTTGCGCAGCATTTACGGCTAAAGGCTAATAGCGATAGTTTACTAGCTAGGAGTTATGGGTCGGTCGCGATCGAAGCGGCTCTTTGAAGCGAACAACGGGAGCCTGCTTCTTATTGGGAGCCGTGTTTTCTCTTTTTCTCACTTTTTCTCTTCATGCCGCATGTAGACCTGTAGTTTGACAGCAGCAGCGGCTGAAAACGAAACTTTCAGAAATCTGCGTGTGCATAGGATAAAAAAAAGTGCATATTTGGCTGCAGTTCAGCATGAAAATGAATAAACCAGGAGTAATCTTGGGCTCGAGTGCAGGAGAGAGATAGAAACCGAGTCTCCGACACTCAGTCCTGGTTCAGTTCTGGTTTAGTCCTGCTTGCAACAAAACAATCTCAAGAGTCGCTTGGGAGCCGAAAGAGCCAGCTGCTTTAGTGAGCCGAGCCAAAAGAGCCGGTTCTCCAAAAAAAAAAAAAAAAAAAAAAATCCATCACTAGTAGCTAGAATGTGATGCAAAAATGCCATTAGGCCAATCTACTGTATGTAAATATGATGTAAAGAGTCAAAATAACAATAGATGTTGTCTAAATAAACCCAATTTAGAATCCACTAGAGCCAAACCTAAGTTTTTTAATCAATTCAAGATTTACAGTGAATTTTTACATCACTAAATATATCGGTGATTATATCGGCTATCGGCAGCTCCAACTTCCATTATATCGGTTTCATATCGGCCACAACAAAATCCATATCGGTCGGGCTCTAGTTATAATGTTGTTTCCTCATCAAAAAAATCATCCCCGGAGTTGTGTTTTGTGCCATTCATATATTTAAGGCACAAATCTTGCATATTAAAGCGACAGTTTGGAATTTTGGACATATTCCATTGCAGTATTTGCAGAGGTCGCTGGTGCTAGGCTAGTGCATGTCAATTCACATCAAAGCGCAACAGCATGTAAGTGCAGCAGCACAGCACATGAGCAGCAGATGCACAGGTTTGGCTTTCCATTTTAACCGGTCTGACAATCCACATCGGCAGTGTCATACGCGCATCCAATGACTGTCTGACACTGACGCGCTGCTCAAGATAGGTTGAAGTTCTAATTTTGCAGCGTCAACGAAGCATCAGCAGGAGAAAGACAGGAAATAAACATGTGGTAAACTTCTGATTCCCTTTCAAAATAAGTTAACTTAAAGTCAAGACAATGACGTAAACAACGCACACTGCATCCAAGAAAAGATTAATGATGGACGACCAAAAGTTAATCCTCAAAGTGGAGAAACACAATATAATTTATGATGTCAGACATCAATTCTACAAGGACTCAGGACTAAGCCAGGACTAAACCAGAACTTAACGAGAACTCACTGTCGGAATGGGCTCAGAGGTGCGACTGTGTAGACTGTCGAGTGACCGCAGGCGATCTCCGTGCCTCATGGAGGAATGTGCTTTTCAGACACCCTGCTCCGTGGGCTCAGGGTTCGGTTCTCTCTCTCTCCCTCTCTCTCCAAGATTAGTCCTAGTTTAGACCTGGTTTATATGTTAAATATGACTGTCTGTGAATTAATGTCAAAATATACCTGTGACCGAAATAAATAATCAATAAATAATCAATCAGTTTAGTCCTGGTTTAGACCTGGTTTAGATCTGGTTTAGTTCTGGTTTAGTCCTGGTTTAGACCTGGTTTAGACCTGGATTAGTCCTGGTTTAGTCCTGGTTTAGACCTGGTTTAGTCCTGGTTTAGTACTGGTTTAGACCTGGTTTAGACCTGGTTTAGTCCTGGTTTAGTCCTGGTTTAGACCTGGTTTAGACCTGGTTTAGTCCTGGTTTAGTCCTGGTTTAGACCTGATTTAGTCCTGGTCTAGTCCTGGTTTAGTCCTGACCTGCCCACATACCCATCCGTAAAATTCCAGAATGTTAAAACCCGCCCGTTTCAGCAAATATTTGCCCGTATCCGTTGGTGCAGGGCTCTGTATCAAGATATAAACGTATAGGCCTTATTACCTGTACATACAAAAGGTTTTAATCACACTCGTAATGTAGGTTACATGAACCATTAATTATAGGTGAAAAAAAAAAAAAAGGTGTTTTATGTGCGTGTTAATAGATTTAAACCTCATTAAACCAGAAATACAAGATGAAGTAGAAATGTAGCTTTATAGATACAAATATTGTGGACTCTATTTACAATATTTACAATAAAATCAGCCATAACCATCTTAAAAGCGTTCTGCAGTTCTACACTTAATACACATTCTAACTTAATACACCTCAACAACTACACACGTTAAGAACAAAAAGCAAGTACAAAATGCGATGTCTGAAAACAGGCTGGCGTAGCAGGAGCATCTCTGATGCTCTGGTGTGAACTGACACTTTTAAATTTACACACGTGTGCAGCTCCGCCTACGTTAAGCACTGCTGCAGCTCCTGGTGTGAATTCAGGGTTACCCACTCCACAAAACACCCAAAGCAAATCTATTATTACACCAGACTTGTCAGTGTAAATGTCTGTGTTGATAGAATAATGTTTGAAATAAAGCTAACCTTGCATTGCAAGAATCATCACATGTTGAGGGACTATTTTCTCAGTAGCAGCGGAATTTTACATTTACATTATAAGATAGGTGCTAGGTCAGTCCGCCGCTGCCAAGCTTTCTATCAGGAAGTACAACTCTTTGCTGCTGCTCAGCCATAAATCCTTCAAATGCAAGGTTGGCCAAATGGTAATACAAGGAGTGTTCTGCTGTATTTTTAAACTCAACACACCTTCACTAGAATCACTTGAAGACCACCACTTCATGACATCACAAGGTGGAACATAGCATTTGAAGCTTTGAAGAAGTAGCCAGACTAATAAAAAAAATTACTCAAATATGTGTGGATGAAACAAAACACAACTCCAGGTATGTTTTTGAGGAGGTAACAACATTCAAACATGGCTTAAGAAAAGTTACACAGCACACCTTTAAGTGTAAGATAAACTTAATTTAGTTTGTACAATAAGCTCCTTTGTTCTATTTTAGCTATTTTCAATTACTCTTTCTGAATTATATAAAAAAGAATATCACCAACAGATCAGCACTACCATCCATTGTCCCAGCATGCATTTCACACCTGAGTACACGTCCATCTACTGTGACATATGAAGACTCTCCACTACACCACACAAAAATAAGCGGCTTGGAGAAAAACTTTGCTCCATTAGATGAACCATTTGCAACACATGAATTCCACTGCATGTGCCTGCCTGGTGCTTGGTCACTTGGACAGAGTCATACTTCACACTCACCATTATCTGTGGCCATGAAGAGTGCTGTGTATTTGTTGTCGTGGACATAATGAGACTCTCGGTCCAGTGAAGCTGTGGTGTTGACAATTCCTCTGACCGGGTTCACATTGAGCCAGCCTGCCGGATCTCGCAAAACTGCATACCTGTAAAAAACGAGACGAGAGAACTATTTTAACAAGAGCTACCATGCTTAAAATAGTCAAGGTTATTTTCAGTTCGAATAAAGGAAAAAAGAACAAAGAAAAAAAAAAAAAAAGTTCTAAGTTAAAGGTGCAGTATGCAATTTTTTGGTGGGGGGTCCATCACCTTCTTGTTTCTATGCATGTGTCATTGCTCTGCTTCAAGCGGGGTTGCCTCTCCACAGATTTGACCTGTAACTTGGTCCGGTTTGGTGGATGGAGAAAAGCATTTGACAGACCCTCCTCCAGAAAACTTACACAATGTACCTTCAAGTACACATAAAGGAGAGCTTGCTGCAGTGCCATCAATGTTAATTTTAGATTTTTATTAAAGGTGCATTGTGCAGTTTTTGTGGTGGACGGTCCATCAAATGCTTTTCTCCATGGAGATGTTATTGCACACAGAATGGTATTAAATATTTCTATCTTCCTGGAGACTAAACCAGACCAATTTACAGGTCAGATCTGTGGAGAGACGGCCTCGCTTACAGTCTGAATGCCTGTTTTTCTAGGTATTTTCAAGGTATTAGATGACTTGTAATTTAATAAATGTGAGGTAGAGCTGATATTCCAAGTGTGATAAGTGACAGACCCCCAACCAAAAAGTTACACATTGCACTTTTAAGGTCATACAAACTGTCACTGCTTTAACACTAAACAAAGTCAGTTCTATTTAGAGAACTGGTTTTTCACACAGTCCAGCCATACAATCCAATGTCACAGCGTCCTTAGAAAATAGCACTCTGAGAGGTGGCAGATGCTCAAGTGATAAGTCTCTATCTATAATACAGGCCCATACATTTTTGTGATAACTTTTATGGAGTTACAATAAACCCTAAGCCATGCCTATTGGATAGAAAATGCTTTCTGTCAATAAGCATTTAGACTTTCAATCTTCTATCTGCTAAAATGTGATGACTGCTGTATACGAGTAGTTTGACACATCGACTGTTTTGTATTGACTTTTAGAGAAATGGCTAAGACCATCATGTTTTGTATTGTCTACCAAGGAGACTGCCTTGCAACCAAATGTTTTGCAAGTCAACATATATGAACTAAATTACACTGTAGAAAGTAAATAAATAAATAAATAAATAAAGGTTATAATTACTGCATAAATGAATGGTTACAGAATAACAGAGGTTCTGAAGTGGTTTAAAAAAAAGATGAGATGGGAAATATACAGTTATGTTATATTATGTATTGAAATATAATGTATCTTGACCAATGTAATAAACAACACTGAGGAACACGTACCCACTTTACCATTTTGAACAGTGACACACAACTCACTCACTTTAAACTCACAATGGTCCAAGCCAAGTCCTCAGTATTCTTTGTGGGTATTGGTTTCAAAAAACGTTTCACAACATTCTGGTGCAAAGCAGTGTTACAGCACTGCTAACAATGCACCTGTTCTTCCTGGTTTGTGGTGGATAAAAACTATAGACACTTAGGCCCAGAGTTTATAAGATACAGTAATTGGGCAAAACTGATTTTACAGGACCTTTCAGTCTTTTCACAGGCAGTATTTGGCATGAAACAGAGCAGGGCTGTGGTGTATTTTGGGAGCAAACAGCCTTGAAAATGATTTGCATAATGCATGTTGACAAAAGCATTAGCCCGACAACAAGCTCACACTGATTTCAAAACACCTTTTTTGCTAAATAAATTATTTAATTTTGTTCAAAATGTGAAACTACTTATTGTTAAAGGCCCTGTATTATGCAAAATGACTCTTATGTACTTTAAGCCATGTGGAAATATTGTTACCTCATCAAAAAGCTGTTTTGTTTCATTCATACATGATTGAGTGAACCTGTATTATTAGTCTTCAGTCAGACATCTACATCTCCAAAGCTCAAAATGCTCTGTTCCACCTTGTGATGTGATGAACTAATGTCATGTAGTTCAAGTTAACAGAGCTCTAAATGAGTCTAGAGAAGGTGTATGGAGTTTTAAAACACAATGGTGCACTTTCTGTATTGCCACATGACATCACAAGGTGGTACAGAGTGTTTTCAGTTTGAGAGAAGAATTAAATAAGCAGAGTTTGTGTGTTAAACATGTGTGAATGAAACAAAACCCAACACCAAGTATGGTTTTGAAGAGGGAACAACATCGTAAAATATTTCAGAATACAACAAAATATGTGCCCTTTAATAATTAGATAAGATAGTATAATAGTTAATTACTTTTTTTTGGCTTTGTGTGGTCCCAAGCCTTGAAGAAAAACAAAAAAAGATCAGTTCTTTTTGATATCATACAGCTTCTCTTTTCCATTGTGCTTAGAAGGAGACAGTTTGCTCAGAGATGGAGCTCTTGAGCCCTCAGAAATGGCTTTACAATCAACCCCTGCTCACCTTCTCTTTCCCAACTCTCTCCCTTCTTTTCTCTCTCCCTCTGTCAGTGCTGACTGTTAACCAACATGTTTTACTGTAACAAAGAACCCAGAGCTCCAAGGTTAAAGGCACAGTTAATAATGAGTCATTCATCAGGCCTGCACGTGCCCTCAGTCTCTTCCACTCAAACGCTCACATGCCCCGCGCAGACAGGAGAGCTTCAATGATCTATGGACCTGGCCTCCACTGACACACAGCCAACTCATGTGAACCCCCATTCATCCGACTCTCCTCACGCAGGTGCCAATTCAGTGTATTTGTGATCTTTGTCCAACACTACATCACCATGTTGTGGCAGACATGCAAGGACGCGAGATTAATATAAGTGTGACAGCTCTGATAGAAAAGCAAGGGTTTAAAAGCAATAGAGGAACGGTGTGTAAGATCAGAGTGGAAGAACTTTGTGCTGGTTGGCTGAGGATTAAATGTAAGTAATAAATCGTAAATGTGTGTTCATGGATTTTTAAGGTTTTAAATCACTATTGACACCTGAGCTTTTACATAACGTGAAATGATTTATTGTAAAGAACTGACATCACTGTGTACAGCAAGAACTCCATAAGCTAGAGCACTGAGGAGTAAAGCAGTGTAAACTAATCTAAGCAAGACCAGGCCTGATTAGTACTTGGATGGGAGACCGCTGGGAACACCACGTGCCAGTTGTTGTGACAAGGTACTTCACCTACATTGTACAATATGAAAGCGGTGAGTGCGTGACTGATTGGTGGTGATTGGAGAACCTCACTTCCCTCAGTCTGCCCCAGGTCAGCTGTGGCTACATCAGTAGTTTACCACCACCTGTATGGAGCAAATGAATGATGCACTGTAAAGCATTTTGGGTGTCATGAAAGGAGCTCTATAAATCCAATGATTAATTAAAAATCAAGGCGGCAGTAGCTCAGTTGGTAAAGTGTTTGTCCATTGATCTGAAGGTTGACGGTTCAAATCTCACTCTTGACATAAAACATTGTGGGTTGAATGGTCAGATCCACTGACCCACAGGTTGGCTAATGTGATTCCAGGTCCCACAGATGAATGCTGTTGTTGTGTCCTTGGGCAAGACACCTAACCCACCTCAGCCCCAGTGTCTGCATACACTGGTGTGTGAATGGGTGAGTAGTTCCTTGTTGTAAAGTGCTTTGAGTGCCTTGAAGGTGGAAAAGTGCTATAAAACCATTTACCATAATGAATTAATTAAAATGCAACAACCCAGGTTTAGTCGTGATTGTGTTTTTTTTTTTAAATACAAGAAAGAGCACAGGCTACATACATACCTGTGTGTTTGTTACAGCCTGAACAGAAATAGTCTGGAGAAGCTGTATTTTTAAAACATGGAGGAGCACTCCTGGATTTCTTTCAGAAAAGGTCAAGAGGTGAGGGTAAGTTTCACAGAATAGTATTACCGCAGCTACCCTACTCCATTATACCTGAGCCATACATCTTTTTCTCTTTTGCACTTCCAGGCTGTTTTGAATTCTGACAGGCCTCATTGCACTGCTGATGTTTGCCTTGGTCTTTGTGCCAGAGTTTATTCAATGCACAATTTCTTTCTCCTCTCCCATTCGTCCGTCTCTTTAAGTCTCACCAAAGTGACAGTTCAAATGGTGATTACCTCTCCCACCACCTGTTGTCAGTCCACATTTACTCTGTCAGGGAACAACAGAACCAGAGGCGGCCAGTGTTCCTGCTTTCAGTACAAACAAGAGGACAGTCCATTAGAGACTTTAAAAGGGCAAATTAGAAAGGCATTAAAAAGCCATTTGGAATATTCATATCTGGTAATACAAGTTTATCTCTGAAAGCAGACAAAGTCAAAACAGATCAGTCAACAAATGAGACAGCATTGAGCGAGCCACCACCACACTCTCATTAGAATGCAAAAGCACGGTCTCTCATATACACACAGCCAAACCACAACTCGAAAATAAATGTAGCTGCTTCAAAGGAGAGTGGACTTTAGCTCCGCTGGCCATGATGAATGACCCAGGGAGGAGGTGGGAGCTGGGGTCTTTGCTTGTTTGGCTGAAAGTTGTACTGTAAGTGCCACATGCTGACCCGAAAGAGAACAGGTCAGGTTTGTGCACTTTTAGCTGAATGGTCATAGCTCAGAGGTTACAGTAGGTTACAATGGCTGCTCCTGGGAAAGTTTGTGAAAGCGTGCATGGAAATGAACTATACGATACTGTGGCCCAGATAATGTAGTCAAACACATGTTACTGTTATCCCTATTTGAATAATAATATCGAGAATGACCCTCTACGAATGCACTGAGAGGTCTTAAAAGATCAGCTCAGCCAAACTTTTATCATGGCCTTCAGCAAAACTTTTCAAATCGATTTTTTGAGTTCATGAAATACATAGCAAGCACATGTGTGTTTCATAAGCAAGGAAATAGCTAAATGAAAAAGGCTTAAAGGGCCCATATTACAGTATTTTCTGATCTATGTTGTAATGTTCTTTCCTCATTACAAATAGACCAGGAATTGTGTTTTGTTTCATTCATGCATGTTAACACACTGAGTGGCTGAGTTCAGAAAACACTATGTTCCAACTTGTGATGTC